TCCAAAGTATTCAAATTAGGAAAGCTTGTGGATAAGTAATGAGCTGGCTAGTGTGCTTCACAAAAAACATGTCTGTAAGTAATACCAATATCAACCGACCAATTTGTCGGGTCAGGGTGGGGGCCTTAACCTTTTGGACCAAATATCAACCGACCAACTTCTTAACTCCTCCACCATTTTCTTCCAAGTCAGATTCCGCTTCAAAGCCTTTGAAACCATGGTTAATCGCCCACGAAATTGCATCGTGCAAAGCCATCAGCTCCGCCTCACAAACTGATTTTGCAAAAATGGGAAAGCGAATAACGTGATGTACGGGCTTGAGACAAGAAACTGTTCTGGCGGTTTTTGAAATTCAAAAAGTTGATGACGGAAAAACTGCCTGCGGCGGCTCCGCCGCCTGGAAAAGCTTGGGGAGGCAAATCTTTTGCCTCGGTGGTTGCAAATCAGCCTAATTCGCCTCTATCACAGAAGAATTTGGCAAGATTTAATGAGATGCCGGCTATTACCTTTCCTGAGGAGGAAGTTCAGATTCTAGTGGCTAAACACAAGCTTTCTCTTGTTGGCTATTTTTCAAGGATCGACCTTCTTTGCGTCCTTACGTAAAGCTTTCGTGTTATAGATTTTAAAGTATCATTTCATCTTGGTCTATTGGAGCGTAAGCATTTGCTAATTTATTTTGATGTTGAAGAAGATCACTTAGGATGCTGGAATAGACAGGATTTGGGATATTTTTGGTAGCACGATGCCTGTTACCAAAAGGACCCTGGATTTTCTCCCTAATGTGGAATCTCCTAATGTTCCATTCTCGCTAACATTAGAGCGTCTACCTATACATCTACAAGAAATTCCTCTAAACCAGATCCCTTGAACTCTGAAAGAATAATTTTAATAGTATCAACAAATCTAATACTCCCTCCGTCCCATATTTAACTCCGGTTTTGACCGGGCACGAGTTTTAAGATAGTGGGATTTGTGTGGTGGAGAGTTATGCAGAGGAGAGAGAAATGTGTAAGAATGGTTGTGAACCACATGTTCTTTACCAAAAAGGGAAAAAGAAGATAAATTTGGGACGGACCGAAAAGGAAAGAATGAAGATAATTCCGGGACGGAGGGAGTAACTTTTAAAATATCAAGAGTTTTTTTTAAGAACCTGGCAAAGAGCATTAGTTATTCTTTGATGAGACACGTGCAACTTTGATACACGCTTTGGCGAAAAAGTGATAATATTAACAATAGTATCCAAGTGAGAGAAAAATTCTCAAATTAAACTAAAATCCTTAGCTGCAAAAACCAACACAAGTTGTAAACGATGTGCAAAACAATGAATATAATATGTATAAGGACAATCTCTACAAAATAATGCCTGAAGGCCATTCCATATATCTCACATTTTACTCCGACCATCATACCCTTGGCCTCTCATTTTTGAAACTTGGAGATCATGATGACCAGGCACATCGCATATTTTATCTTTCAAGGTTGTTGTTGTAGTGTCACCAACACTTCTGATGGAAAAGAAACGCTCTGTAAGAACTCCACTGCTGTTCACAAACCTTATAATAATTGTCATCTGCTCCTGTTTAGATATATTTTGTGCTTCATCAACAACTATTTGCAATTTTTCACGAATCATTTGACAAATTCTATTCGCCATTATATTCAAGATCTCTTTTTGAATCTCAGGAGCAATGTTCTGAGCATTTTTCGAAGCATTTTCAAGCACAACTTCATGAACCTTGGTATTCATACTTACAAAAGCTTTCACTAGTTCAATAAAGTTTCCTCCGATTTGATGAAGTTAGAGATTCATCATGACCTCTAAAGGCACAACCTTGAAGTGGTAACCATCGAACGATTATAATAGAAGTTCTTAATCACAAATGTTTTTTCTCCCTTTCTTGTTGCGATTGGACGTGCAAAACATTGTTAATATAGTCAGATGGCTGCCTCAAATTTTCAGGTCTTGTAACACACATCATATGAGGTGATAATGTTGTAGTACCAATGTGTTGAACAAATGCACATCTATTTCCTTGATTTATCCTCTTCCAACTTCGAAATCCTTCGTTAACTAATGCAGAAGTAGTATGCATATGAATGCCACTCAAGAAATGGAATCAACAAAAACAGTAAGCTTTATCAGTCAAAGGTGAGTACTCTAGCCAATTAATTAAACTTGTCAAACCATTGTTTCTGAACACTTCGGTTCTGAGCCCCAAACTTTGTAACTGGATAATATTCCATTCTTGTTTGATAAGGTCCAACTTTTAAATATGCACGTCTAACTTCATATCGTACTTTGACAATATATTCATGAACTTGCTCTCTTTTTCCCAGATCTCTCTCAATGGAAAAAGATGAAGGCAACAACAAATTTGAGATAGTTTCGATTTCATGGACTTGGGCTTGTGGAGGAACCTCATTGAGTAGATCTTGCACTATCATAGGTATAGGTTCAGAACTTCCTTCACTACTCTGACGATTCACTTTCGGAAAGAATGACGAAACCAGCTTCTTTCCTTTCTTGGAAATATGATCATTATCCATTCTAATAAGTTTCCCCCAATATCAAAATTCAATTAAAAATTTCAATTATTTCTTACATGTCCACACAATAAATAAATAATTCTCTAATCTTCACTTGTATAATCACAAAATCATTCTCTAGGATTTAATTCTAGAGTTTTTTTCTGGATTAATGTTAATTAATTAATTAATTACGGAAATAATGTTGGGTTAAAACTATTTACCAATATACTGCTGGGCTTAACCCTAGTCGGGGAAAGTCGCCAAACCATTTGGCGACTTATAAGTCGTCAAATGGTTGGGCGACTTATAAGTCGCCAAATGGTTGGGCGACTTATAAGTCGCCAAATGGTTGGGCGACTCTCTTATTCATACTGAGATGAAGCTGGGAGAGTAAGAATAGGTGGAGCCAATTAAGATTAAATCCTCTATTTTCTTTAAATGGGTATAACTTTCATATTTTTCTTCCAATTTTTTTAAAACATATACCAAATTTTGTAACTTTTTGTGATCTTTCATATGACACCAATATGTAATATATAAAGTTCTAAAAAAATCTAAAGACCATATGGGGTGAAAAACTAATTGCAATTATGCACCGTCAATAAACTTAATTCTCAACCAGTTTAAACCAAAATTATGTATTCACCCTTTCAATTCAATTTTTTTAATATATTTACCCAATATAGTTTTTAGTTAAATTCTTACACTTTTTAATCTACATCAACTTTTAAGCAAATAAAATTTACGAAAATATGAGGATTCGATCACATACAGTTCTTTACGCTCAATTTTTAAATTCCTAAATTGCACTTTAGACACTCTTTGTTATAACTGAAAATGAGATCATTATACGCAGGGGCAGAGTCAGGGCTGGTACAAAGAATATTTAAAAAAATACACATATTTTTTTACACTAAAAATGTAGACATTTTTAAAATTTGGGTTGGGCCAGAGTGAATACACATTTTTTAAAAATACACAGAATTTTGCATTGAAATGTTTTATATTTTGAGCTTAAAAATAGAGTGTAAAGAACTGTATGTGACCGAATCCTCAGATTTTCGTAAATTTTATTTGGCTAAAAGTTGATGTAGACTAAAAAATGTAAGAGTTTAACTAAAAAACTATATTGGGTAAATATATTGAAGAATTGAATTGAAAGGGTGAATACATAATTTTGGTTTAAACTGGTTGAGAATTAAGTTTACTGACGATGCATAATTGCAATTAGTTTTTCACTACATATGGTCTTTAGATTTTTTTTAAAACTTTATATATTACATATTGGTGTCATATGAAAGATCACAAAAAGTTACAAAATTTGGTATATGTTTTAAAAAAATTGGAAGAAAAATATGAAAGTTATACTCATTTAAAGAAAATAGAGGATTTATTCTTAATTGGCTCCACCTATTCTTACTCTCCCAGCTTCCCTTCTACACATCTCATAAGAGAGTCGTCCAACCATTTGGCGACTTATAAGTCGTCCAATCATTTGGCGACTTATAAGTCGTCAAATGGTTTGGCGACTTTCCCCGACTAGGGTTAAGTCAAGCAGTATATTGGTAAATAGTTTTAACCCGACATTAATTCCGTAATTAATTAATTAATTAACATTAATCCAGAAAAAAACTCTTAATTCTATCATTAATCATTATGAATCTATAATGAAAATTTTCCCTTTTTCACTAAAAAATTTAACTAATAATTAAAGGGAAAATAACACTTTTAGTCCCTGAAATAGTCACCATATTGAAATGTCAGACCCGTATTTCTAAGATTGTAAATGTCACCCTTCAATTATCCAAATTGGTGTAAATGTGATCCTTTGAGGGGTGAAATGTACTCCATGTCCACATTGTACATTTCACCCCTCAAAGGACCACATCTACAACAATTCAGACAATTGAGGGGTGATATTGACAAACTGGGGAACATGAGTCTGACATTTCAATATGTTGACTATTTCAAGGACTAAAAGTACGATTTTCTCATATTTAAATTGATTAACTAATGGACTAACCCTAGCACTCTAAAAGCGAAAAATACTTATACAAGTTAACTGTCTTAACACAATCAAAAAATAATACAATAATAATCGCCTGGACGCGCGGCGTGGACGGAGGAGGGTCGCAGCTCACAGGTTGGAGTGCAGGTCGTCGCAAGTTGCCATGCTCTTGGTTCTTCGATTTTGTTTTTTCCGTTCTTTTTCGCATTCGGCCATTTGGAGCGCAAGTATGTTCTAAAGTCAGTTGGGCTAAGCTGTGGGTTGGGAATTAATTTTGGAGTGGACCGAAAATTAGTTTTGGGATGGGCTGATAACAAAACCTATACCTATGCTAAAAAAAAATTGGACTGGACTGGAACGCACCCTTGTCCTCATAGCTGTCACCCGTGAGTATGATGATGACTTAAATTTAAAAATTGAATATAATATTACTACTCAATCATATTTTTAAAAGCAATCTTTATTTTAATCATAAATTTTTAATTATTTCCGGTTCTCTCTAAGAAAATCTCTGATTTAAGTTGCACTCCAGAATAGGATAAGGGTCATACGGCACATATGGTCGAATGAAAAACTCGTGTTGCCCACACGTCCAGACAATTATGATCTGAATCATACCATACGCTCATGCTTCTGAGAAGCTCGCCAATTTCTTACTCAATACTCCGTCCGGATAATTGAGCACCACACCACAAGAAACGTTCGCTGAGATTCGATGGCTTCTCTGCACTTGTCCTTTACTCCGGTCACCGCTGTCCAAAGACGAGCACGCACAACTGCCGCAGCGTCGAAAAGCTCCGGCGGAAGCAGCCAAGAGAAGGGCCTGCTGGACTGGATTCTAAGCGGAATGCAGAAGGAGGACCAGCTCTTCGAGACCGATCCAATCCTGGATAAAGTGGAGGAGGAGAAACGCGGGGGCACCGTGCGCGGCCGTCGGAACTCGGTGGCTATTCCTCAACCCAAAGGTAAGTCCAATGGCGGAGACGGCGGCGGATTTGGTGGCTTCGCGGGTCTATTTGCAAAGAAACGGAAATGATAGCGTTTGTGCTCTATGCTCTGTAATTTTCTAATCTTGATCATCCAGATCCAATTAAATTAAATACTGTACCGTATAATTTGAGACAATCAATCTATTCTTACGTATATTAAATTATCAAAAAAAATGAGGATCATTCAAGGCTCATTATGAACTAAAACACAAATCTTTCAAAAAAAAAAATGCACTAAAAAATTTTGTGCTACTGTTATACGGAGTAATAGACAAAATGTTGATGATCCCTTTTTTATTACTCCGTATCTTTTACTAGTTCTTCCTAATTTGAGCTCGTTTGATAATGTTAAAATCGGTTGATTCTGCTGAAATTTATGAAATTCTAGCTCAAGTGACTTGTGAGGATCTTATACGTCTCCGGCTCAGGTCTATTCCACTATAATTCCATACACCACACTAGGAGGAGGCTATAGCATCCACTCTCAACTCTCCACTAAGACCTTTCTACTCTCACACAAAGGAAAAGGAAGGGAGCTCTGCTCTCAGGGATTTTTCTACGCAGGCTACTTACACGGAAGAGGCCAAGGCCTCTAAATAATAGCAACGGCCAGAAGGTAGTCACGGGTGAGAGCCAAGACAAAAAAGGCTCACAGGCTGCCAGACAATGAGTGCAGCGGACAAGAGGCAGAGAAGGGGACAACCAAGAGATTAAGTCAACCGCTCAAAATAGGTATATATTTGATCAGGATATATACCAAAGAAAAGGTACCAAAGTGGGAGTAAAACAATAGGGTGCAAGCATCGGCAAATAAAGTGGAAGGGAGGCCTTGGTAGGACCAATAACTCCAACATTCTCCACCTTATTGGTCCTAGGTGGTGTAGAGAAACAATATAAGGTTGTGACAAGACTCATCATCGCCGGGTCACCCGGAATATCAACAGATAAAACGGGCAAACACTTTATTACGCAACCCACAGTTATTCACAGTCAAAGTTTAACACGCGTTTACAGGACAAGTGCTTCTCAGCAGAAAGACACTTGGTACCCATATCCGCAGGGTTAAACTCTGACGGGATCTTGCACAGCTTGACTCCACCTGCATCAACAATATCACGTATGAAATGGAACCTAACATCAATATGCTTAGTTCTATCATGAAATACAGGATTTTTGCAAAGTTGGATAGCCGATTGGCTTTTCGAGAAAATGGTAACTCCCTTTTTGAGAAACCCAATTTCGGAGACAAGGCGTTTGAGCCAGATGGCTTCCTTAAATGCTTTTGTGGCTGCAACATACTCGGACTCAGTGGTAGAAAGGGCCACAATAGGCTGTAGTTGAGACTTCCAACTAATGCAAGAGCCACACAAAGTAAAAACATAAGAAGTGGTCGACTTCCTGTTATCTCTATCACTTGCATAGTTAGAATCAACATAACCAATCAATTCAATACCACTAGCACATTTAGAGAAAATTAATCCATGCTTCACAGTAGAAATCAGATATCTAAGCAACCACTTAAGAGCATTCCAATGGGGCAAACCAGGGTTGGACATATATCTACTCAAGCAACTAACCGCATATGCAATATCAGGTCTAGTGCTAACCATGAGATACATCACCGACCCTATTGCACTGGAATAAGGCACATATTTCATTTTCTCAATTTCAGGAGTAGTCTTGGGAGACTGGTCCTTACTTAACACAAAGTGAGATGCCAAAGGGACATTAACAGGAGAAGCAGATAACATATTGAATTTACTCAAAACTTTTTCTATGTAAGAAATCTGATTCAAAGTAAGAGTACACTTACTCCTATCCCTAACAATGTTTATGCCTAGGATCCTCTTGACATCACCAAGGTCTTTCATGGCAAAATTCGCACAAAGGCATTTTTGCACATCTTTAATAGCATTCAGAGAAGGACTAATTATCAGCATGTCATCCACATAGAGTAACAAAAATACAGGCACAGAGGAAGTATTCTTGAAATACAGGCAATGATCACAAACAGATTTTTGGAACTTCAAAGATATCATGCATTTATCAAATTTGATGTTCCACTGCCTAGGGGATTGCTTCAGGCCATACAATGCCTTCCTAAGCAAACAGACATGCTCACTTCTCTTGGGATCCACAAAGCCCTCAGGCTGGGTCATATAAATTGTTTTGTCCAATTCACCATGCAAAAAAGCAGTAGTTACATCCAGTTGTTTCATTTCCCAGTCATGGTGAGCAACTAAAGCAAGCATCATACAAATAGTGGTGAATTTAACAACAGGAGCAAAGATTTCTGCATAATCTACCCCCTCTTTTTGAGTAAATCCCTTCGCAACCAACCTAGCCTTAAACCTAACATCACTAGGTTCTTCCTTAACCTTAAACAACCACTTACACTCAACTACCGAACAGTTGGGGGGTCTAGGTACAAGGGTTCAAGTCTGGTTCACTCTCAAAGAGTCCATCTCACTTTTCATGGCACTAATCCATTTCTGAGACTCTTTGGAACCTAACGCTTCACGGTAGGTCTTGGGTTCATTCAGCTCTAGGGATTCAAACACAGAAAAAGCAAACATAGAAGTATCATGCACAATGAAAGCATAATCAGGCATACTATCAGCAGTTCTCCTAATAGCCCTTCTACCCCTATCTCTAGCAAGTTGATAATCATGCAAATTATCACTACTAGGCTCCACATGCAACTCATGCAAATTATTGTTGTCATGAAAGTCAGATTCAGCACCAATATCATGCAAATCATGCTCAGTATCATGCAAATGCTTCACCTCACTCGAGGTGGTGGGACTATCATGCTCAGAGGAATCAGAATCATGCATAACAATATCATCAGTAATAACAGGATCAACAGATAAAGGACTAGCAGCAACAGGGACAAACTCCACCTCACTAGGAGTACTATCCGACCTAGACTCAGGATTAGAAACAGACTCGGTCAAGCAAGGAAAATCAATTTCATTAAACACCACATTTCTGCTAATGATCACCTTAAAGCCTACCTGGTTCCTATCCCATAACCTGTAACCCTTTACCCCCTCTGGATAACCTAGGAAGACACATTTCTTAGACCTAGGATCCAACTTATCACCCTGTTGATGTGCATACGCTGCACAACCAAACACCCGAAGGTTAGACAGATCAAGAGGCTTACCGGTAAAGACGGCTTCAGGACACTTACCACCAAGTGGGACAGATGGGGACCTATTAACCAAATAGGCAGCAGTAGTAACTGCTTCACCCCAGAATTTCTTAGACAAACCAGAGGTAGCTAACATGCTTCTAACCTTATCCAACAGAGACCTATTCATTCTCTCTGCTATCCCATTCTGTTGGGGAGTATAAGGCACAGTTTTGTGCCTTTTTATCCCACAATCCACACACAGCTTATCCATCTCCTTATTACAAAACTCTAACCCGTTATCGGTCCTAAGGGTTTTAACCTTCCTGCCAGTTTGGTTTTCAACTAGGGTTTTCCACTCCCTAAACTTCACAAACACATCAGACTTGTGCTCTAAAAGGCAAACCCGCACCTTCCTAGAGAAATCATCAATAATAGAAAGGAAATATTTCCTACCCCCGTGGGTAGGAACACTGGCAGGACCACAAACATCGGCATGAACATATTCAAGCACAGACGAACACTTAGACAGATTAGGGTAAGAGGAAGGAGGGAAGCTGACTCTATGCTGCTTGCCTAACACACATGATTCACAGAAAGGCACAGAAGTCACCGAGTCCTTACCAAAATAACCAGCCCTACGCATGACATCTAAACCCTTATTGCTCATATGTCCTAGCCTATTATGCCACAAAGAGGTCTTATCAGAACATACAACATTCACAGACTCAGTAAAAGGTTTAGCATGACACACATAAAGGTTATTCACCTTCTCAGCTTTAAACAACACAAGAGAATTTTTCAAGATTTTCATGCAACCATTCCCCCATTTTCCCTGTAAACCACTACTCTCCAAAGCAGCAACAGATAACAAGTTATGACACAAATCAGGGACATGCCTTACATTCTTAATGGTAAACACAGAGCCACAAGAAAACTTCAGACATATATCACCCACACCAAGCACATTGCATCTCTTATTATCAGCTAAGGAAACATAGCCACTATCACATAATTCATATGTAGAAAACAAATCTCTAAAGGGGGACATGTGATAGGTACAACCAGAGTCAATCAACCATTCATGCTCAGACAGGGAATTACACACAGAATTAACATGGTCACAAACCATCAAAATATCACCGAGGTCACATTTATCAACAGCTACACTAGCATGCTCGGTCTTCTTAGGTTTAGGGCAATCTTTAATGAAATGGTCAACGTTACCACAATTGTAACACACTCTCTTCCTAGATTTGCTCTTCTTTCTCCCAGGCTGACTAGTGTTCTTACTTTGACTATTTTGCTTAGAGTTCTTAGACCTACCCTTAGATCTACCTCTAACAAACATAGCCTCACCGGAGTCCCTGGACTGACTAGCACTACCCCTAGCATGCTTCAGGTCTAATTCCTTACTCTTTAACCCATTAATAACAATATCTAACGAAATCTCATCCCTACCATACTTAATAGCGGACTTAACATCATTATAAGAGTCGGGAATGGCATTAAGTAATACTATGGGAGTATAATCGTCTATGTGTTTATCACCTGCCTGTTTGATATTCTGTACCAGTTTATTAAACACATCCAGGTTCTCATCTATATCCTTAGTCAGGTCAAGCCTAAACCTAAAGAATTTCTCAAGTAAAAACAACTTCCTGGGTAAAGAGGTATCAGTATAGAGACTATCCAATTTCTCCCACAATTCCTTAGCGGACTCAAGAATACCCACTTTCCTAAGCACAGAATCAGACAGATTCAAGTAAATAGTAGAACAAGCAGTTTCGTTCATTTCAATTTGCTTAGCCTTATCTTCGGATTCAAGGAAAATACCAGTGACAGCTCTGAAAACTTTTTGTTGTATTAAAACACACTTAATTTTCTGTTTCCAAATATCAAAATCTGTTTTTCCATTAAATGGAAGCATACCATACTGATTAGCAGCCATGGTATCAACCACAAAACAACACAAAGCTAAACAGACAAATTTGACAGAAAATAAATCAACCCGGGCTATAAAGTATTCACTTTAATAACCACGGGCAGCATGCAACAAATAGCAAATATG